AGGCGGTTCTGCCCCACATGGAAGTTATTTCGCAGCCCGAGAAAGATGGGAGCTTGCAGAAAGAATATTCCCCAAAATCTATCTTGTCGGCGGTATCGTTACCATAAATCTTGAGTATTTCAACTGGCAGGGCTCCGAAATATACGAAAATGTCTTGATATAGTGCATCATTTCGTCACAGATATCAATATAATATTTGATATACTTTTTCAATATGAGATAGATATCAATCTCTCTTTCATGCAATTGAATATTCCTGTTTGAAAAGTAGAACTGCTCAATATTACGTCATACACCGGATGTGTTCAATACAACTCGTCTTGAAATCTATTTAATAAATAATAACGAAGTCAAACTTTCGTTTAAAAAGTCCGTAAGAAAACGTATTTTATAAGCTCTTTTAGTATAACATTACAGCAAAGGTTACCGAATTCATTTGTAGAGTATATATAATAGAAATTATTTAAAAGGTCAAAGAAAGTCAGAGATAGTTTTGAGAAAACGTATTTTATAATCTTTTTTAGTATAATATCACAGCGAAGGTTACCGAATTAATTTGTAGAGTATATATAATAGAAATTATTTAAAAGAGCAAAGAAAAGATATGTCAGAGATAGTTTACAAAAAATTCCGTTGAAATCACGAATTGATAAATAATTACTGTTTTACAAAGTTAGGAGATCTATGTGTTATTTGCATTCATATTTCTTCGTAGGAGATCGAAAAGATGTAGCTAAAATGATACATTTTGCCCAACATCTTTAGTTAATATTACAATCTTTTGTGAGCTTTTTAGCGTATAAGAGGATGTTAACAAAGTGTTATGTTAACGCGGTCCAATAGTGTTATCGCGTTGCAATCTTTTCCAACAATGAGCCGTCTACCAGCAGCTCATCACTCGGTCTATCCTGGCGTGACTGAGCCACGTCGCAATTTACTGCGATCGTTATAGGGCGACGCTATGTCGCGCGTCGCGCAACAGATGTCTAAAGCGCGCCTATCTACAATTCGCTGACAGAATCGATCTAATTAGCAATTACGAGGTATATCTTTACGCAGTACATAATTGAAATTGCAATTAATAACTGATCTCTTTCATTGAGATTTGTATTCTGGATTTTCGCTTTTATTTGGAATGATGTATAGGAAGCGCTTGACTGAAGCTGTAATTGTCCTCTTCTCAATGAAGATACGTAGACAAAGTTTTCTATAGATGAAATTAACGCAATGTGTCAAATTGAAAATCTATTCATTTAAATTCATTTTTTTGCATTTTTGCGGTTTTGTTGTTTTTTATAAAGAGCTGAAAATAAAAATATCTCGATATTTATCCGTTTTGAATATTACGTAGTATTACTTACAATTAACACAGCGAAAAATAGATTGATGTCCAAAAATATTTATTCAAATGGAAAATACAAATTGCAACAAAGCACTAGCAGCATAAGAATTCAGAGAGGAAGCAAAAGTCTGGTAATTTAATTATACAGTAATTTTGCAATTTGAAATTCAGACTATTCCTCGTGAATGCAAATGCCCTCGTGCTCTCTTTTCCAATTTAGATCCGTATTGTTTTACGAAGTGAGGGTGCCGCAATTTATCGTAACTACTTGGCAGGAAACCAGGAACTCAAACGGCGCTGACTTCCCTTATCGTTCGTGCGAATAATTGCTAACTACTGGCTCTAACTGTCGCTTCGTTATAAATGATCGGTGTATAATTCACGCTCGGAGAGAAAAATGGACGGGCGGGGTTACCTAACAGATTCAAGTGTCAAAAGTTATGTAGACTATGTGATGTTACGTAAAGTAACTTTCGGAAGATCGCAAGATGACAAGTTGATAAGATAGTGCCAATCCAGACAACATGTATGTCATAAAGATGTCATAAAGACATTACAAAGACGTATTTTAAACATGCATGTCTAAAAGACATCATGAGGACATCGTTTAGACATGCGTCTAGGAAAGTATAGCCTCACGGCGAAGTTGCAAAGTCCTTCATGCGGAAAATGTGTTAAAAGGACAATAAACTCTTCGCGCGCGTTGTATAGTGGTTAATGGATATATTAATAAATGCGCAATGAACATAGGACAGTTAAATTGCCACGGAAGCAATAATAATAATGATGATGAGAGCCATTACGATGTTAATGCGTTTGCGTCAAAACCTTTTCCAGAGATTAAAAATTTCTAATAAGTATTAAGATTGAACTTCAAGATTAAACTTCTGCTAATTAGGATAATACATAAGTGCTCATGTTTTTTATAGTCGAAATATTGCCTATACTTTGAGTATAATAATCGAGTGTAACGCGATATACTCTTGTCTTCATCATACACGTGTCTTTATCAACTGTCAAAGTTAATTGATTACCGAGATCATACTTTGCTAGTTTGAAACACTCGCTAGCCTCGAGAAGAAGATTTTCGAAAGTCGCTCGTCGTTAGAAAATTGCGAATTTGATAGTATTGCATTCCCTTCAGGCGTCAAGCGAACTACTACTTGAAAAAGTCAATCCAAGTTTTAGACGAACGCGTACAGCTATCTGAGAGATATCGCGTTATCTCATGTAGAAACTTTCTATCGAAGTAGCACCTACTCACATCTTTCGTACACTACCGGACATATGATTCCTCCTTAAACTTTATACGAAACTCAATATTAGTTTATATTAGCTGAGAGGGATAAGAGTAACTACACTTCAGCCTGAGCTTCCAAACAGTGCTGAGAGCAGGATGACAAAATGCAATGTAATTTTAAGTTATTAAAGGGACTTCACGGTCTTGCCGTCTTCTCGGATGGCTTTGGACGGGATTGCTTTCCGCGGCGTAATCCGAAGTGATTAGATCTCGGTGAAATTGATCTTGCGTTTTATTAACGGGCAGTCTTTAACGCAGCTCTTTGCGACTCGCCTCGCCTGTCGGCGGTTCTTAAAGATGCGCACGTGCGGCGCGAAGTTCGCAGTTCGCGTTGAGCGTGCTAGAGTTGCGGTTTGAAGGGACTTCAGTAAACGATGCAATCTACCGCGTCATTGCTGACACGCAACTCGAAGCGATTGTGCAGATGGAAACCAGTGGGCGGCCGAGGAAGGGAAAGGGGAGAAGAGTCGCGTGTTGAATACCATTGAGAATGCACAGACGCGCGAATATACGCGGAGGTTAATCAGAAATTTTGGCCTGGTGTCGACTGTAACGAAGAGCGATCGATTTTCGCCGTGGGAGAGCAACAAGAGGAGCGAACAACTCGAGAGGCGTAACTACGACGCGAAAGAAATGCCACGCGGATATATGGAAAAACAGAGTGGAAAACAAAAATACCTTTCAATCGAATTTCACTCAATCCGCAAAAAAAAAAAAAATAGGCATGAATGCTATTTTCTGCTGGCAGAGTATAACGTTTCGTGTTACCTTAGAATTATTTTATCCTGATGCGGCGCTTTATTTTTGGAATGTAAAGCTCTATTAAGAGAAACTTATATAAGAAAGTGTCATCACTTTGCAACCGTTTGTTCCAATTATAAAGTAACTGTGATTATTTCCTTTATTTCCTTATACAATCCATAAAGTAATTTTTACTTCCTTTATTTTATTATAGACATCTTTATTTATTGAATCAACTATCAGCCGATAATTGAACGCGCGTGATTCAATAACAATTCTTTTATTGAGTAAAAATTATCATCTTGATTTAGCTCAATTGCGTAAATAAGTCTCTGACGATCTATACAGTCCATACATCTCTATATAAAAATTTTTATAATAAATTTAAAAAAATAGAAAGTAAAGCATTTCGTTATAATTGATTTCGTAATTGCGCAATGGAAATCTCCAAAAATTTTGATATGTAGCGCAGTTTAGTTGCTTTCAGCAACAAAATTCGGATTGCACGGATTGTGACGTGGGTTATTACTTTTTATATACATATACGTAGTACATGTATGTGTAGCTCGACAGTTACGCGAAGTAGCAAACTGTGTTCAACGCAGGAGGTAATATGATCCAAGTAAATTCGTACGTAATAGATCAGAAGTAATATTATGGCGTGCAATATACTGAAAATGAATCGCGACAATGGTATTATTAATTAATCTACTATTTAAATACATAAAACAATTATATTAGTGAACCAATGAAAATAATGTAACTATCCTACTCTTTTCAAATTTTATTTTTGATATTAACAAAAAATACTGAATAACGTTTTTGATTACAAAGTAATGATTGCATTAAATTATATAATAATTTCCTATATATGTGCATTTACGGCTTAGCGAGAGTTTATCAAAATTTCGAAAACTTCATTAAAAATCTTAAAACAAAATATTGTTTTCCTAACTCTATTTTCTCTTGTGAGAAGAAACCTATTTAATTCTCTGCAGATTTTAATTTTCGATATTTTCGAAAAATAATGTATACGTGTATAACCAGTTCTTTCAGTTCTTATTACTAAATAACTATTATTTAAAGAATTACATTAATACTAATATTAAAATGGTATAAAATGAATATTTGAAATTGCTTACATTTAAAATTCTTGCAACGCTACAAATATGCTATGACGCGATTCATCAAGTACTTTCGACATTCTTCACAGGAAAACAAATCAAGATCGAAATATATCAGTTAAATTATTAACTACAATTAGTTAACCATTAAAATATATTTAACCAAATACAAAAATTTTATTAAAAATGAAAGAATGAACTCTCTCGCTATATACTGATGTCTACGTCTCTCTACATCTAATATTAATTGTGCCTCTATAAATAATATTTAAAGAAATGAGTACGCCTATATATACTTGCAACTTTTCCGTTCATACTTCACATTTATTCATATTTATGCACACATTCCAATATCCTCAACAGATCTCACGTTTCTTTGGTCACGCTGTACTTTGAAAAATCCGCGAACTGTCGAACTACAGGTGAGCTGCGTTTTATGTAAGTGTGCATATGTGTCAAAGAAACGCTACTAATTTAATTAATTATTACTTACGTGCAAATAGGTCACGTCGAAAGAAAGAGGAGGCGAAAGAGAGAAAATCACGTTTAACAGGTGAAAATCGACTTCGTGCCGAGCGCGGGAAAACAGTTCTCCAATTCGACGACGACGTAGGGGCTGCGATGATTCCTCCGACAAAAGTGACGTCCGTCGAAATTGAAACTCTCTCGCGAGCCGTGAAGTCGACGTTGGGACACTCCGACCCCGAAAGTACGTTCTCTAAATGGCTCGCTGAATAGACCTGACACGCTGGTAGACGAATACGGCAATGCGGGCGAACCAGCTCTGTCCGGTACTTCGGTGCCGTGCCGGGAGGTATCCTCGATGCTTTTGGTCGGCGTCTGCGCTCTCGTAACCTTCCGACTTTCTTCCACCTGCGCACTACCACCATTTGATAAGCTCTAGAGCATGTCCAAGGCCCAAGTGCAGCCGCATCAGCTCTCTCTCTCTCTCTCTCTCTCTCTCTCTCTCTCTCTCTCTCTCTCTCTCTCTCTCTCTCTCTCTCTCTCTCTCCTACAAAAGTTGTCTTTCTCTTCTACAGAAGCACCTGATGGAGCACCTGATGGAGATATGGTGAATGTTTGAATTGGTATCTTCGATAAAATGCGTCGTTCACGAGGACGCATCGAGTTTCCACTTGGAACAGTTCGATACTTCGTCGACAGTTATAATTATGTATTGTAAAAAAATATAATATAAAAAATTAATACGTGTTGTACATAATAAAAACGTGACAAATTTTATTTTCCAACGTACACAGTCAAGATTTCTTGCCGATTTCTATAAATTTACCGTAAATAAATATACGGTATTTACGGTAATAAATATTTACAACAATCCTTTCAGTACGTTGTAAAATAAACAGTCAAGTTGCACGTCGACGTAAAAACAATTAGATTGGATACAAAATTATTGTGAAATCATTTTTAAATCATGATGAAAAACAATTCAAACTTACTCTGAACAAACATTCGTCATCTTGTTTGATAATTAACTTACTTCAACGTGAGATTTACTGCACGATATTTTAATTTGTATTTGATATGGCCAGATTTTTTTGTTGTTTCATAAAAAAGGAGACCGACAGATAATTTAAAGCTTTGACGAATTTTTACTAAGCTTTATCTTTTAGAAGTTTAGTTTAGATTTGCTTATCGTAATATGTATAACGTTTAATATATGTATACTCAGACATCCGCGAGCTGTTATGATCAAGCTTCCTTCGCGTTCTCAAAAGCTGCTGATACACTTGGGGACGAGGTCAATGTTTGCTTGCCGAACTTCCGAACATGAGATCGGAGCTCCTTCTATAACTACTCTATTAGGTAGTTTTAGTACACGATCTTATGTGAATTCAGAAAGCAGATGAGAATTAGCAATTTTTATGATGTTAATCGCATTTTAATTATTATGAATATATCATTAATTAAATGGCGTATTATATGTGCTTTTTTTATTAAATTTTTCCCTGATTTTTATAATTATAACATTCTATAAATTATTAAAATTTTTGCCCAAAAGATATCAGACGCTTCTTTGCGATATTTTCAAGTTAATTATATTCACGTAATAAAATGAATTTTTATGCTGTTATTGCAGCGTAATAGTGTGGGTAAGATCAAATATTTTGGTTTACTTTGTATGGTCAAACATTGGGAAGGAAAACATTGACGCGCCTGTTTGCGCATCTGACCATACCTAACATCGCTACGACTTGAGAAAAGCGATAAAGATTCTCGACAGAGGAAAAAAAAAGATCTTTTCTTCACAGTTTTCGGTTTCTATTTCTCTATGATTTCAAGCAGTTTTGCAAATACGAGAGAAAGAGTCACGTTTCTTCGATCCACGTGCTTTTAACCCTCTATTCACTATTGCATAACTTCTTGCTTCAATGCGGGATTCATTTAAGAATCCGATATACCACAAATATTTGCATAAATTTTATTTAAAACAGAAATTACTATTATTTCCAGCAACGCCGCACCCGTTTCTTACTATGGAAGGAAAAACTAAAATATTAAATTTTATTAACGATGCTTTCTTTATAGTGTGTAGTTATTCAGCTCCCGTTGCTCGGAGAAGGTTGCTAATGTAATAAAAATTCAAGCAAAAACAAAGTACACAGGCACGAAAAATTAATCTTGGAAATGATTCATATGCTAAAAATGAAGATTTAAACTCCTTGTCATTCTCCCAATATAGACTAGCTTAAATGAAACTTCAACGTATAACGTGCTACTTCAAGCGGCACATTGGAGCGACACTTCATCAGCGCGCGATAAACACGCGATCTCACAGTAAATTTTAGCGACAGTAATGGCAAGATATCGATATTATACGTGTCGTTTCTTTGTTACGATCGAATATATAGTCGAATGTTCCACGGCTCATGTGAATAGTAAAGAGATAAGAATGGTGGCAATGGTGGAGCGCGTGGAATTTCGCGTGTATACCGTGACTACCTGAAACAATTTGACTTATTTCTAAATGGTGGGTGCGTATCCCCCGTCGGGAGTACATTATCTTCACGCCCGAAGGATGAACAATTCGTTCCGACGGGACGTAATTCTCTCGCAATTCTCTAACACCCACGCGCTATCCTTTTCGCAAATGACGCCTCCCCCCCGTTTCGGTTTTCGTCTCCTCCGAGAATAAGAAGTTGATCGTAAACGGCGCCGTATCATTTTCTTTGCCAACATCTTGCAATACTTTGAACCTCTAATTCCATCGCATTAAGCGTAAAGTGCATCGAGGATTGAGAGGGCATTAACCAAACATTGAACCAGACAAGAAAACCAGTGTAGGATTGATTTCTCGAGAGAGCAACGATATTTAATTTCTATTAATTAAAGTGAATCTAGCCGAGGGGCACGTTATTTGATTAAAAAAACCTGTAACAAGATATGTGGTAAATGTTGATACAATCAACCAGATCAATTTATCGACGTAACTTTTACGCGATGCAGCATTTGTACATACATTCGTATTAAATCGCACCTGAAATATCAGTTTTGCATCGATGATTCCTCAGGTAACTTTTCAAAGATAACGTATGCATGACATATTCCACGGGATATCTTATGCAGATTTTCTAGAATTTCTGAAAAAGAAATATACAGAAATAAAAATATATACTGAAAATATTTAATGATACTTTTCACGTTTCTTTGAACGAGAAGCCATTTTACAACGTATTTTACATCGTAATGTAATGCAGTAAAGAATGCATAATTTTCTAGTGCCAAATCATTCGCGGAGCATTAAATCGCTAGGAAGAATACTAGAATAATAAAAGTTTCGCTCTTTATTTATTGAATTCATAAATAATTTCTACTGCAGATAACAATAATTTATCTTTTCTAAAAATTTACTAATTTTACTATCTCAAGTTGCTAATTTTACTTAATAGTTTTTACATTTTATCTGATAGTAAAAAGTTTCTCAGTTGCAGATTTATAGTACTATAACTGAGCACATCGTCTTATTAAATTGTGAAAGTAGATCCTTAAAATGAAACATCTGAAAGCACATGTGCGCACATAATACCTTTAGAATGCAAACAAGGGGAACAGCTGTTGTAACGGCTTAAAAAAATTGTAATGTATCTGGCGGGGGTGTCATAACAAATTGAGCGGTGCGAAAGTGGTTTGTTCGAAAGTTTCTCTCGGAGATATAACTTTGAAGGATGAATCGTAGTGACAAATTGTCGTGTTGACTTCAGCGACAAAGTCGCTTCTTAAAATTATTGATGGTATAAAATCCATGTTACACAACAAGAAAACTGGCACAGATGCTAAACGCATCGCAGTCCATTGTATACCATCACTTATTATTAGAAAAACTTGTGAAAGGAAATGGAACTTATTTATGAATCAAACGGCAAACCAATTGTCCGTGATTCCGAAATGTGACAAGAACGCCTTTCTCGTAGGATGGATATCGTCACGGAGCATCTCTTTTATAGGATTTTAGAGGTCTAACGAATTTTCAATCTTTTTTTCTTTTATCCGCCGACAGAATAAGCCTTCGGAAAATCCTCGTGTTTCTCAACGGCAGGGTTGCTGCCAATCTCATTCAATCGTTTTTCATGAAACCGCAAATTCTCACTGATTGCGCGCATTTTGCTTCGCTAAGTGCGAACGGTCGCTAAATAACCGATATTCATTAACGTGAAAGCCTAATTTCCTTCTGACGCACTATTCGTCTTGCATGACGCATCGATTTTTATTTTTGCGTCACGAATAATTTTAACATTGACCTCTTTCGTGATGCAAAGCGAGTGCGCAACGGGATCGAAATTCTGCGAGTAGCTTCCCGCATGAAATTCTTTCGCAAAATAAAATGTAGGAACATCTTCACGTTATCTGCCGTTGTAGCCGTGTCTTCTTTGTCCCATTATTTGTCAAATCAAACGCTCAGAAGAATGCACGTGTCGAAAAGTCGCAAAGCCGCTTCTCTTGCTGACGAAAGGGAGTGCTCGTGTCCTTGGGTGCGCGGTATCTCCGTCGACCATGAAACCATTTAGCGAATATCCTCTTTACGATCGCATCCTCCGCTCAGCCAATTTCGTGCTCGTAAATACTCACTGCGCGTATCGTACACAATATACCTGTGACGCATCCCTACGACGCGCGACGTCTTCGACGTTATTATGCCACGCGGGCGGAATACACTCGAGGGCTGAGTATTGGAAGCTGTCGTTAATATTTCGCTTCTACGAGCGACGAGGCCGAAGCAGCAATTTTGAACGGGGACGGGGTGCCGAAAGATGTTGAAATACACTCATATAGCTACCGATTTTACGGAACGGCGCGCGGCGGCGCGCGCTTTCGAGAGAAGGGGAGGAACAGAATTGTCGAGCGTTGTCGCCCTGATGATAGCGCGACGGCAAAAACTGACGGGCGCTTTCACGTTGAGCGATGTAAAATCGATGCCTCGATAAGCCCGTGGCTGAGCAACGTTGATACTCGAAATTCCAACGAAAGTTTTTACGCACGAACGCGGCAGAGGTTTTCTATATATTCTGGCGAGAGAACTAACTCTTCTTCCCCATTGGGGATTAAAGAAGATCCGCCGCGGTTGTGAGTCTTTGGGTGTGATCTTCATTAAGTTAAATTCTCTAGAAACTATTCTGAACGACAACTTTGATAAGATTGAAATCGATAAGTTCTCCAGCGAGCAAAACTGTATAACAGATACCGCAATTAAAATATTTTCTTTCCTGCATGAAGATGGATTTAACAGCCGTCATATTATCGACATTTAAATCCAGTGCAACAACTTATGAAATTACTGAGTCATATACTCATCATTATGTATTTAT